AAACACTCGCGGGGTGGAGAATGTGGTTTCTTTCAAACAAAGTGCACTGCGAGACTGATTTGAAATGAGCTCCCGGGGGCCGGGGGGGTTACGGGGAGCCGCTGCGGGATCTGTCCTGCTTGGGGTCGAGCCCACTGACGAGGCGCTGGATGTTTTGCAGTTCGCTGGTGGCCGCCTCCTTGTCTGCGCCCAGTTTGGGGGAGAGGGAGACGGAGCCGGAGGAGAGGGTGGAGGAGCGGCTGGTGAGGTCCGAGGCGGAGTCCAGGGGCACGGAGCCGGGGCTGGCGCTCAGCCCCCCCGCCTTGCCCTCGCCCGAGCCGGCGGCCAGGCCGGGCAGGGCGGTGGTGAGGAGGCTGCTGCCGTCGGAGAGGGGCACGGGCAGCGGGTAGGGGCTGTAGCGGAGCCGCGGCCGCACGGCGCTCAGGAAGGGGTGCCGGTGCACCGAACTGGAGGCGGCGCTGGAGGCGGCGGCGGCCGCCGCCATGTAGGTGTAGGGGTAGGGGAAGAGGCTTCCGAAGGGAGACATGGCCAGGCCCTGCGGGAGGGGAAGAGAGAGAAGGGAAAGGGTTACCGGCTTGCACACCCACCCCCGGAGATGCTTCCCACGTCAGTGGGGAGCTGACAGCGGCCAAGCTGCTGCTGCCTTCGGGAGGGGATGGAGACCCATCCTCCCAGTGCCGAGGCCAAAACCACGAGGACCCAAAGGGGCAGACCCTGGCCATGCTCTGCCCTGCACGGCGCCCACCCCGCCGGCCCCCCTTCCCGCTGCGGGGGTCATGTCCCAGCGGGGGCCGTGGCATTTATCTTCCTCACTGCGAGACTCTTTCTCTGGGGCATGTGCCCTGTGCCCACAGGTGTAGCCCTCCCCGTCCCACAGGGCAGCTCCCCCGACGGTGGCTCCACTCCGCAGGCTCCAACGAGCCCCACGCCGCGGAGCTTCACCCCTCGCGGGGGCAGGGGCTGCAGAGGCCTGGCCCCGGCACCGTGTCACAGGGAGCACAGGAGTGGGACGACAGCGGGGAGAGTGGGAGAGCTCCGGGAAATCGAGCTGGGTCACCCCCCACCCCCTCCCGACTTTCCCTCCTCCGACTTTCCGCCAAACCCTGTGACTGCCCCTGCAGAGAGAGGTAGCGGAGGGGACACCGCAGCGGGGGAGTTAAAAGAGGTGCCCGCTGTCCCTCTGTTCCCCCGGGATTGAAACCCTCCTGCTCCGGGGGGCGGCGGTGGGAGGCTGCGGTACCTGCGAAGCCAGGACGTGCTGCTGCAGATGGAAAGGCAAAGCAGCCGCCGATGCTCCCGAGAGTCCCTGGGCCGCCGCCGTGGCCATGACCGTGTTGTCCAGTCCCGAGACCCCGGCGGATGCCCCGGAGACGGTGGCGAGGAGGGGCCCCATCCCCGCGGCCATGCCGGAGAAAGCCCCCCCCATGGCGAACTGCCCGGGGTGCAGCAGCAGCGGGTGCCCGTTCCCCAGCGGGTTGAAGAACTGCTGTCCGGCCAGGGCAGGGGGGAAGCCGAGGTTCTGCAAGTGTCCCTGGCTCAGGTGGGCCGTGCTATCGGTCTGGACCGTCAGGGGGGCGAAGGGCTCTTTCCCCAGCAGCCGGTTCTCATCTACTTTGGGGCCATCCCTGAGAGGGCTTTTCAGTTCCTCGCCGCTCAGGCTTCCACCCCGGGTGCTGGAAGAGATCGCAGCCGGGCTGTGCCTGGAGTCCGGAGGGGCTTTTTCAGTCCTCTCTCGGCTCCTGCTCCCCGCCGAGTCCCCGGGGAAGAAGTGGCTTTTGGAGGGGCTGCCCCCCTTCTCCCGGGGGTCTTCCCCCGCGGTGGCAGCGGAGCTGGCCGGCGCTGGGGTACTGGCGGTGGTCGTGCTGATTTTGCCCGACTCGTTGCCTTCTAGCAAGGGATCGTCTTTGCTGTCTGCATCGCTGTCTCCCTCGCTGGGGCAGAGATCTGCAAGACAAAGGGGGCCCGGGGCTGGGATCCAGCACTGCACATCCCGAAATCCCCATCGGGCTGCCAGAGAGGGCAGAGACGCTTCCTGGCCGGCCAGAGGTTTGTATGGAAATACTTTTTTTTAAATTATATAAATAAATACAGCCCTGGGCTCCCACCGCCCGCCCCGAACGAGCCAGCCCGAGTTTTACACAACGCAGCAAAAACTGGCTGCGAAACAAAGCGACGGCCCGGAGGAGCGACCTTCCAGTCGGGCGGGCCCGGGGCCAGCGGATCCGCTCCCCGGGGCTGCCCGGAGCCCCCAGGGACCCTCACAGGGACCCCCCACCAGCGGTAGAACAGCAGCGGCTGGGCTGAAGGGCCTTAGGGATGCGCCTCCTACGAAGTTTTCCAAAGTTTTCATCCCTTTCAGTGGGCAAACTTAGAAAACGCAGAGAGAAACCGATCTCCCACTCGCCTTCCTCACCCCTTGGACCCCCCCTTCTCCTTCTCCCCAAACGCTTGCACGGCTCCAATGGATTCCTCTGCACTTCATCTCCTAATTTCAGCGCCCCAGGTGCGAAGCTCTGGTTTGCTTTTTGGGTCCCCTCCCAGCTCTCCTCCCCTCAGCTCGGCAGCCCTTTAAAAAAACGAGTAGAGCAACTACAAAAAAGAGGTTGTTTCCTCCTCCCCCTGCCCCCCCCGCCTCGCCCCTGGATGGATTAATACATGTGAGAGAGCTGCAGACAGCTCCCAACCCTGCACGGAGAGAAACCCAGGGTGACTTTTCTATAACAAAGTTCGGGACTGTATCCAGGGGAAAGATCCTTCCTCTAATAACAGATTCAGAGAGGAATATTAATGGAGTGACTCCAGTTTTGAACTTTTGCCCCGTGGTCTGTCTTTGCTCCCTTGACTCGGAGCTGGCTCCTTTCTGAACCGAGGAGGGGAGGGATGAATGTGCAGCAAGGGGGGAGAGAGGCTGGGGGGAGAGGGAGAAGGAGAGGAAGAGTGAGGAAGACAGAGAGGGAATGAGGGAAGAAGAGGAGGGAGGGGGAAAGAGTAAGAGAATGAAAGCAAAAGGAGAGTAAGGCAAAGAAGAGAGGAAGCAACAAACTAAGGAGATAAACAGAGGAAAGAGAGAAGACTACAAAGAGAAAAAAGACGAGAAAAGAAGTAAAGAGGAAGGAAGCAAGAGGGAAGGAAGGAAGACAGGCCGGTGCCAGAGGGCAGTGGTAGAAGTTGGGAGTAGAGCAGGCTCTCCTGGGTGGGGTCCAGAGGCCACAGCTCTCACCTTTGAGGCTGGAGGTGCCAACGGCAGGCACGGCAGGACAGGAGGACTGGGCAAAGCACTTGAAGGCCGTCTGCTCGTTGGAGGACTCGTCCGAGGTGGGATTCTCCTTCTTCTGCCTCTCGTCATACACCCGCATGGACTGCAGGGTCAGCTGCTTCCTGCGGGCACACGAACCCGCTGGCAGAGCGCACCCCGGCACCCCCCTCCTCCCCCACCCCTTCTTGAGCTCCTATTTGGGGATGAGTGGGACAGGGGAATTAAGAGCCATGGTCCCCTGGAGGAGCAGAGCTCGTTTCTGGCAGGCAGGGCTTGGCTGCTAATGAGAGGAGATTTCTTGGAAGCCGTGAGCGGCTCCTCAGCGAGGGCAGATATTAAAGACAAGGGGCGGAGGGGCGAGGGAAGCATTCCCTGGAGATTAGCTTTTAAAAGGCGAGGATGTTCCAGAGATATGAGCCATCTTAATGGTTGCTAAGATTGCTAGGAAGTGGTTATTTTGTTAGGCACTTTATGTAATCTTTTCACCAACAATTAGGCCGGAGTAAAAATCTATTTATATTTAGAAAGAAATTAGAAATCATTTCCGTCCTGTGGCTCCAGCGTTGGCTTTATTTTCACACTGACGGACAAGAGGAGCTGGCGTGTGCATGTTTGTGTGTGTGTGCTGGGCTCAGTGCTGGGCAGGGAGAAAGGCCTCTTGTTTTACATCACATCCACCCCCCCCTTCTTTTTTTTTTTTTTTTTTTTTTTTTTTTTTTGTTGAAAAAAAAAGAGGAACAGATTTGTTCGTTATCTAAACTCCAGTGCAAATGGCTAAAATATCCTGTCTGCTGTAACAAAACAAAACAGACATACCCCTCATCAAAGGAAAAAAAAAATATGTCCCTTTCTCTATTTTCTCCTTGTATTTTCTTCCGATATTAAAAATAAAAATCTTCAGTTCCATTATAACCAGTTCTGTCCATCTACCTGGGGCACAAACTCTGTCCTGCTGCTTTTGGAAAAAATAAAGAATTTTCTATCATTATTACTTCCACATTAACGGGATACCTCTGTCAAAGCAGTTTATTTATAATGTTCCTCCTCCACATTTTAGTCTTTTCGATACAATCCTCTGAAAAATGCCAGAGGACATTCAACCAGCGCTCAGCCCTCCCTTCTCCCTCTTCTCCAGTCCCAGAGTCAAACTACACTGAAACATTCCCTCACAAATTTTTAAGGGAAAACTTCTTTCTCCTGTGATATTTGCTTAATGTACTGCATTCCCTTTGGCCAGTCATCCCCTGCAATGTGAAAAATAAATGTGGAAAGCAGGAAAGAATTCCCATGCAATCCGTTTGGGGTTATTAGCGCCAAGATCCTTATGGATTTTGGCGGGGAGAAGTGTGGTTTGGAGGCAAGTCGAGGTGATTTTGACCTCTGCTCGTATTCTGAGCTTTACACATGAAAACCAAACGAGGTGCCTGTATATAATCGAGCCAGACTCACCTCTTTTCCCTCCTTCCATTCCCGGTGTCCCGAAAACCTTTGGCAAAGGGGTTGTTGTCAATTTTTAATTGAGTGATCTAGAGGATGGAGAGAAAAAAAAATAGGCAGGGGGCAGAATAAGGGCATTTTTACGTTAAAAAACAACAGCAAAACTCCCTCTTCCCAGTTCCCCCAGCGCTGGCAGGATCCTGCCGGGAGCAGGACAGGGCAGGGGGCAAAGGTCCCCGTTTTGGGGGGGATCTCCACGTTTTCCCGGGTCGTTTGGAGGCAGTTCGCCCCCAATCCCCCGCCGGGCTGGCCAGTGACCCAGGCTGTGGTGGCAATGAAAGAGCCCCGTGTTGCTGCCACCACATCGGAATTAATTGAGCCGTGCAATGCGATCCATCCAAGTTATGCCTGTGCTTAAAACTCCTTAAATGCCATAATTAAACCGCAAAGGAATCATACCCACCCCCTCGCTATAATAAAATACTTTATATAATCGCATTATGCTCTGCGTGTGTGTGTGTGTTGGGGCGCCGGGGGTGCCAGGAACCAGTTCGTATTTTTTGGGGGGTGGGTGGAAGTTTTTTGGTTTGAGTTTCCTCGGGATTCGGGTTATGGCAGGGAATGGCTGCTTGGAGCGATGGGGCTTGCGGGGGCATCCCGTGAGTCCCTCCGCCCATCCGATGCGCGGAGGCGGATTCAGAGCCTGGCCGGGGGCTCCCCTCGCTGTAACGGGATGCGGGCGATGGGAACGGAGATTCCGCCTCCCCGCCGCTCCATTCCCGGTCTTGGACCGGACTGGAAGCGCAGCAACCCCCAGTTTAGGAGCAGAGGAGGACCACGAAAAGGAAACCCCGCCTGCGTCCGAGTGCGGGCAGGACCAGCCCCGGCTCCCGAGCCGCCCCCCCCCTCGCCACACACAAGGGATGAGGAAGGAGCAGGAAAACCCACTGCTAAAAACCAGCGGGACTTTTTAATCCAGGTGCTCCCGGCCGTGCTTTCTGCTCCCCCCGCGCCCAGCCCAGGGCTCCCCGCCGCTCCCGCACGCCGCTTTCCAGCCGATTTCATGGCAATCAGACAAATATGCTCCTTTCTGTCCTTCAACCAAGCCGGCCCCAGCTGATAGACCGGGGCGACCAGCCCTGCTGATAAGTCCCAAAGCAAAGTCTGCTCTCTGTACACTCATTTTCTTTCAGTTTCCTTGCAAGCGCCCGGCCGCAGAAAGAGAGGGAAACAGCCCGAGCTCCGAGGGGCGAGTGGCTTTTTGGAAACCGAGGGCAGAAAGGTGCAGACCCTCCCTCTTCGGCCCTTGATTTTTACTGGTGAAGGGTGTGAGGGGCAGAAAGAGAGACACGAGGAAGCTGCAGCGAGCGGGTGCTGCGCATCCAGACCTTCCACACTTAATGCACACGAACTCAAAAGTTATAATTTATAGACAAAAAAACCCCACCAAAACCAAAATCAAAGCCTTTTTTGGCTCCTTCGCTTCCTTCCACTTGACTTAATTATCGTAAATTCGCCGTTTGCCACTCTCCCAAATATACCACCTTCGTCGAAAGTGACAATAAACCAGCAGAAATGGAAAGGCAGCGTCTGCAGCGCTGCAGAACTTTCTCACCCGGGCTCATTAGACCTTCCAGCTAAATTCAAGCGAGATACCCCTCTCTGATCAGAGCATATTTCTGCACCACAAAAAATAATAAAACACTACAGGATGCAAAAAAAAAAAATCATAATATAGTAATAATAGGAACCAGACGTGTGCTTCAGCCTTATTGCCAATTGCTGTTAAAGGAGCTAAAACAGCACAAAGGCCAGGAAGAATTACAAAATCTCAGCCCCGCTGCTCTCCCCCTCTGTCTTTCGACACACGGAGCCGAGTCCTTCTTATTTTTTTTTTTTTCCCCTGATGCGTCTTAGATTAAATCCACACTGAGAGCAGCGATCCCCACCCCATCCCTTTCCCCATACTGGTGAGCGATACCAGGAAAAGAAAATGGTAAAAAGAACCCTAAGCATTCTCCCCCCACCACCCCCAGTCCTCGCTTTTAATTGCCTTCCCCGAGGTCGGTATTAGGAGAGTGCCCGACCCCCTGCCCCGGCGCCTTCCCGAAGTTGGATCAAGGAGGTTTTGGGGGGAAAAATGAGGAGGGGAGACAGAGAAGAACGGGATGGGCTTCGTGATTTTTTAAGGGAAGAGTGCAGAGTAAAAGTTCTCTTAAAAGCCAAAACACGTAAAACAAATCCTCTCTTAATCTCCTTACCTTATCATTCTGGTATGCGGTCACTGCGATGAATTCAGTCTCCGGGAAAACGTAGGTCCTGAACGTGCTGTAGGGAAGCTTGAGGATATCGTTGGCTCGGACAATGTGGAACCGGGGCTGGTACTTGTGCATGGAGTTTAAAATGGTCTGGGGAGTGAGGGGGGGAAGCGGCCACAGCAGAGAGGGCAGGAGAGGGGGAAAGAAAACGGTCAGCAGGAGCAGCACCCCCGCCTCGCACTTCCCCCAGCCATCGGCACTTTCTCCTCCTAATTTGCCTTCCCTCTCCTTCTTCCCCTCACTCCTCCTCCCCGCCGAGCACACTCCAAACACTCGCACACGCCTTGCAGCATCCAACTAAAAGTACTGACAGCTCCAGCTCGCCAGAGTTAGGCTCTCGCTGGTCCTCTCGGAGGGAAGGGGGGTGGGGGGGAGGGAAATCCCATCAGAGATGTTTGGGAGAAGCTGTTGGGCTCCGGCCGCAATGTTTTTTTATTTCAAAATGTAAAAGAAAAAAAAAATAACAGAAATAAAATCAAGTAAAGAAGCAGCAGCAGCTACAATAGCAACACCACCACGAGAGCCTCGGCTCGGTCTAATTGCGTGCCCCAATTCACTTAAGGCCTTCTGCGAAAGGCAAAAATGTATCGTCTAATCAAATCACAGGCAGCAAATGCAATCTTCGGCACATTAGAGATCCCCCGGCCGCGGCCAGCACCAGCAAGCCCCGGCTCCGAGGCCGAGGCTTTCCCAGGAACAGAAAGAAATGGCAAGGATCGTCAGAGCACTTATCAGCAGGTTTGTTTGATTTCACTCTTAGGGTAAGTTTTTATCTCTGCACACCCGGTAAATGTAAAGGAGTGGATAGACATGAATGGGCAACTTGACCTCTGCTTTTGGTCCCTGTTTATTTTCACTCCGGCTTGCTTTACATTATCCAGATTAATATAGATTTAAACGTTTGCGTACTTAGGCCTTTAAGCCCTTTATACACATATGCATATCGTTTTCCTGCGCTTAAAAAGTGTGATCGACTTTATTAAAAATATATATAGATATATAAAGTCACCGCAGCTCCGAGAAATATCGAGTTGCTCTACGCTGGAAATGTATCTCTAAAGTTAACGCTGAGTGGCACGGAGAGGTTACAGAGTAAACTCCAGCGTTTAATCCTGACCGCAGCAGGGGGGAGAAAAAAATCAAGAACTATCATAAACCGGAGAGATGCTCGTCCCGTGTGCGTGGAGGGGTATTTATTCCCTGTTTTCCCCGCATTTCGGGAGCCCGTGGGAGCTGCCAGCGGGGCAGTGGGTACGGCCCGGCCGAGCAGTCGCCGTGCTCCGGGTGAAACCCCCCCGCGCTGGGACCCCCTGCTCCGGCCGGCTGGCGAGGGAGGGAAAGTGGGGTGAGGGGGGGCAAAGGAAGGTGTAAAAGGCACTCACAAATCCGTGCTTGTCAGAGATGTTGTTAGTGAGCTTCAGCTTGTGAAAGGTGACGACTTTGGACATCCATTGTTCGCCGGTGGCCGGGCTGTCCGGGTGGATGTACATTCTCTTTGGCATTTCAGGGTCAGCTTTGCCGGCTACCATCCACCGGGAATTATGGAATTTGTACCTACAATCATCAGCCGCCACAATATCCATCAATAAAATGTACTTGGCCTTTTTATCCAGTCCAGTGCATCTCACTTTAAATGGAGGAAACATTCTCCTATGGGCAGAGAGAGGGAAGGGGGGGGGGGGGAAGAAAGAAAAGACATGATGAAAATAAAATTAATTACGGCGTTTAAATAAGCTTCTGAATTTCGGTAGTGCGTCTACCAAGCAATTGCTTCAGCTCTCAAAAGTAGAAAACTAACTGTGTGTCCAGCAAAAAGGCCTCCCCCCCCCGGGCCCCAGTGGAAAGGCTTCTCAAACGCTTAAAAGTTTTAGGAGAAAATGGTCCCTGGGTGGGAGAGGTACGCGTTCCCTAGAAATCAGCAGGCGCCTACCTCTGCCATTCCTAAACAGCAAAGGCCCATTTGGGGCTCTCTGATCTCTCATTAGTTTCCCTTTCGCATGCTAAACAAAGAAATGGGAACAGATCGCACCCCGATAAAATAAATATTCTGCATTATTATAACCCAGTCACACGATGAAGAGCAGGGAGGGGAGTTTGTCACTTTGCAGAGGAGAAAAAGAAGCCCCAGCGAGGACAGGGTGGCTGCCGGGGCTCTCCCCATGCTTCAGCCTGCCGGTGATCCCCCCCGTGTGCCGAGGGCTCCCTGCAAACCTCGCTCCCCTCCGCTCCCAAGTCCGGCTCCAAACTGCAACAGGATACCACAAATTTGCTGTTTATTATATCGAGCGGTTGGCATTCAGCAAATCTCAACTTAAAAGGAAACACATGACTTTGCAACATGTAAGAGCCCTTAATACTGGCCGAGGCTTTCACGCAAAAAACTTTTGACCACAATTAACAGAGAAAACTTCGGGAAGGCAGTAAAATGGGTGAGGGGAGATTTTTTTTCCCCCTCCTTGCTGCTTTTAGGGCTTGCGTTTATTTTTTTTTCCCCCCTGAGCCTGTAGCCTGCAACTGGTGCTTTGCAAGTAGGTGAAGCTCCTGCAAGGCAGCTGAAGGCCATCTAAGAAGACTTTTCAGGAGTGGCTTCCTCGAGTAATTCTCCTGGCAAATCACACGCGGAGAGCTGGGGAGGTTTCTCAGAGAGCCCCTTAGAAAAACACCCGGGCGCCAAGGGGGTTTTCACCCTATGTGTCATCACAGCAATAGGCAGAGTTGTAAAAGAACCCAGATGTCAATGAGTAGCGAATATGGAGAGGGATTTCAGACGGGTAAACCTATAAAAAGCAGAAATGCCGAGCGTGGACGCGCCGTGTGTATTCATTCATTCCCACGTGAAGGTTATATAAATACAGGGACAGGCAACGAGGAGCTGCAAACCCTTCCCTGCCACTCCAGCAGCGGCTGCAGGACCGCTGGGGAGTTCTGTCACCTTTTTGTGCATTTCCAGATATAATCAGTCAGCACAAACGCCGCCTAAATCCCTGCACTGAGAGAGCCACAAGCTGATCTACCGAGCCTATCTGTCCTCCTGCAGCTCCTGCCCCACCAGCAGCCACACGCCGCTCCAGAGGATTTTTCCTTTATTCCCCTTTCTCTTTCTTACGGAAGAAAAAACTGCGCGTAGCGAGGCTGAAACCAGGCCAGCCCCTTTTCCAACCCCAAATTATTTTCTTCCTGCTCCCAGTCTTCTCCAGTAAGTATTAAGCTACTGAACCATGAAGGGACCCCCCTCTCGCCCCCTGCACACGCACACGCTGAGCAGGGCCGGGTCGTGGCTGGGCTTTTCCCTGCAGCGTGGTGCCCCAGATGGGCTCGGATCTTGAGCTGCCTAAAACTTCCAATAATTCCAGGTGAAAGGAGATTTACGCAGAGAGCCGCCCGCAGAGAAAGCCTTGCTCTGGAGCAGCCTGGTGGGGTGCAGAGACTGAGGGGTGGGGAAGAGGAAAAAAGGCACGAACCCCCGACCCAGACCTACCTTCCCGATTTGGTAATCACCATCTCCGTGCCTCTTTTATGGAACTGCTCCCAAAGCTCTTTAGCTTCCAGATGCACTTTCGGATCGTCTTCCACCTCTTCTTCTGGCTCCAGAGTTTTTAAAGGCCTCAGATGAGCTGCTGCCTGGTGACCCAGGGAAGAAAAGGGGATACCAGTCTCTGCAGCCCCCACTAACTGATCCATGATGGGTTTAGCCAGAGCCCCGGGAAGGGAAAGGGCGGCCGCCCCATTGGGAGGCAAAGCCAGAGCCGGGAAAAAGGGAGGTTGATGTCCCAACACAGCGCTCATGGCAAAGTCCGGTGCCCGGTGCGGTAAAAAAGGATGATAAGCCATGCTTGTCCCAGGGATTACTGGATCTCTCATCGGTAAATTCATCCACTCCACTCCTCGGTCTTCCTACTGCTGGAGTAGTCCAGGAGTGGTTTCTAACAGCACATCACGAAGAAGAAAAAATAAGATAACAATAACAGCAATAAAGCACCAAAAATAAAAAATAATAAAAAATTAAAACAGGGTGGGGTAAAGAAGCTCTAGACAGCACAGTACATGGGGGAGAGGCAGAACTTCTACAGCCTACAACTTCCCGAGCCGGGGCACATCCCCAGCCCTCGGGACAGCGGATTAACAGGATTGTTCATTATTAGTCTTGCTTTTTTTCGTGCTCGGTCTCTGAGATTTTGTTTTGCTTTTTAGTTGGTCGGGGTTTTTTTCCTGAGTGGAAGTCCTTGCGCTGGAAAAGGAACGCCGAAGAAGGGAGGAAAAAAAAATCCACCGGGTTCGCTGTCTGCTCCTGTTGCTGCAGAAGGGCTGGACGAGCCGAGATCCCTTGTTCTTCCTCTTCTTCTTTTTTTCTCTTAGTCCCAGTCCCCCTTCTCTCCTTCCGTGTCGGAGGGTGACGGCTCGAAGCTGGGTTTTCTTTTTGGGCGGCTGGCTCTGCCCCCCCTCCCCCCCACCCCTCCACCTTTCCTCCGTACGGTCAGGCTGCAGAGCAGAGGCTGGGAAAGGAGGGAAAGCAGAAAGAAGCAAACAAACCCACCCCCCCTTCGCCGGCCGAGGAAGGCTCCTGAGCAACCTTCAGCAGCAAAAAACTTGTAGGGAAATCTCGTTTCCGCCTCGCCTTTCCCCCTCTCCAAGCAGAAGCTGGTCAGGGTGCCCTGATTCCCATCAGGATCTCTTCTTTCTTTCACCCTCTTCCTTTTTTTTTTTTTTCCCTTTTTTAAAAAAAATTTTTCCCCCTCTCTTTCTCTTTCGCTCTGCCTTAAAAAAAAAAAAAAAAAAAAAAGAAAATCTGGCAGAATTATACTCTTGTCTCCGCAAAAGAGAAAGGGAGAAAGAGAGAGGGAAAGAGAAAGGAAAAAAAGGGGGAGGGAGAAAGAGAGAAAAAGAGAAAGAGAGAGAGAGAGAGGGAGAAGGAGCCTCTCGGCTCTGAGAATTCCCTGTGAGTCTGTGCTCTGCGTGCACCCGATCGTAGGGATGTGTTGTGGGTTACAGGGGAGCTGGAGCCGCCTTGATTGGCTCTTTGACGCTTTCGGACCAATTGTGAGGCTCCATAGGCGGGGTTCTGACAGCTCGGGTGGAGGGGGACAGCGCCGAGTTATAAAAAGAAGGTGTCGGAAACTGTAACGCTGCAGCAAAGCATCACTAGTACTCCGGGCCGTGTGAATATGTCAACATGATCAGAGGGGAGGGAGCAGGGAGGGAGGAGGGAAGGGGCCGGCAGCGCCCGCCTCTGGGGGGTGCTGGGGCCCGCCTCGCCCCCCGGCCTCCCGGGCGCTGCCCGCCCGCTCTCCCCCGGTAGGAGCTTCCAAAGCGCCGGGACCGGGGGGGAAAGCTCCACGCGTGGTGTTGGGGTCCGAACCTGCGAGCTCCCCCCCCCGCCTCCCCAAACGCCGCTGGTATCGTAACGGGGGGCACCCCGCGTGTCCCCCCCCGCCCCGGACCCACCTCGGGAGGCCGCGGGCCCCGCCGCCCCGCACGCCCATCCATCCCCGCAGCCGCCGGCTTGGTGTCACCCTCCCTGCCGCTCCCCCGCTCCGTTTTCCACCCCCCTCCCCTCCACCGGGAAAGTCGCTTTCTTTAAACGACCCCTCCAGGCCGGCAGCCGGGCGCTTTCCTTCCCCCCCGCAAATCGGGGGGTGACCCCCGGGAGATGGAGGGGCGGCCCGGGGGGTGGCTCTGCGGGTCTCCCCCCGGCTCGGGGCTGGGCTCCGGCGGCTCCAGCGGCCGCGGCCGCCCTTATTATTGTTGTGGTGGGCGGCTGGAGGCTGCGGCGGGCGGGCAGCGGCCGCTGGCGGCTCAGCCCCGGACCCGGCGGCTGCAGATCACGGCGGGGGCTTGGGAGGGAAGAGGGGCGACGGCTGGAAAATGCGATTTTTTATTTATTTGTTATTCCCTTTTTTTTTTTTTCTTTCTCTGGCTCTGAGGATTAAGGCCACTCGGCTGCCACTGGCGCCGAGAGGGTTACGCTCCCACACCCCTCCTCTTCCACGAGGTGCGCGGGGAGGAGACGGGAAGTGCGGCTTTCCCTGCGCCCGGGCCGGGGCAGCGCCGGGCGGGGGGGCCCAGCCCCGGGTTACCCCCGTGCCCGGGCTCGCGTGGAGCCAGAGACCCCACATCCCCCCGGGGAGAGCGTCACGCGTGGGTCTGATCCGACTCCACGGAACTGGGCAGGATCCTCCTGGGAAGTTTCTGGGGAAACATATTCCTTGATGGGGGAGGGGGGGACAGCACAGGGAAGCAAAAGGGGGCTTGCGGCTGTGCGTGTCGTGGGAGCCGTGGGCATGCAGGGCACGGAGCGCCCGCGCGTGTGTCAGGGGGGATATCCCACCGCTGGGAGGTGCCGAATCATTACTCTCCCCTGGGGAGTGGGGGGATCTCCTGACGCCCCCAACCCCGCTTTAAACGAGGGGAGGATAATCCTCCGGGAGCGGAGCGAGGGAGCGCGGGGGCTCGGCGCTGGCTGCGCGCAGATGGGAGCGGAACCTCTAAAGTGATTAGCTCTTCTAACATTGCATTTTTGACGCACATGGTTAAGAGCGCTTGGCGCCAGCTTGGTGAAGTCCCTGTAGTAACCAGCGTCTAGGATCGCTTTGCATTCACCAAAATATCTCCCCTTTGGTCGGGGGTGGGGGTGAAAAGAGGAGGAGGGAGGAAAGGAAGCGGGAGTAATGCGTTCAAAGAGGATGGGGGGGGGGGGGGGGGGGGGAAGTCTGATGTGTTTCAGGGAGCCAGGAGCCTGGCTACCCGCGCAGCGCTCGGCTGCGCTGTGCAGCTGCTTATCGACGGAAGAGAGCGAGTCTTTCCAACCTCTGCTCGGAACCGGTTCTCGGGCTCCCGCCGCGGTGGGAACCCCCAAAACCCTTACGCCTTCCTCTTTAGCAGCGCCCACAACAAACGCCCGGCGGCTCCAAGAAGTTTGCTGCGATTTACCCCAGGCGGGCCGCCGCTCTCTCGCGAGGGACCGGGAGGTGCCCGCGGGCTCCCGCGGGACGAGCGCAGCCGCCCCCGGCCCCGCCGCGCCCCGCCGGAGCTCGCCCTCGGCCCCGCGGCACCCACCGGGATCGCCGCCGCCCTCCGCGCCCGCCCCGCACCTTGCACCGCGCTCCGCACCCACCCGCGGGGCGAAATAAAGCGTTTCGCCGCTTATGATTTCCAATTCCAGCGTCTGCCTAATGGCGTGCAAACTTCCGCCAGTTCCGAGTGACCTCCCCGACGAAGCCCCCCGGAGACTCGTATTATGAAGGGAGGCTGCACTAATCTAAGATCAAAAGCGGGAAGGTGCGAACAGTCTTTGTCTCCCTTCGGCCGCCTCATTCCCCCTTCTGTGTGTGATAAATCTACCCTGGCGCCGACTGCGCGCTGGATGATTAATTTGCAAGCAAACAAAAGGGACCTGATGGCCAGCCATCTTAGTTAAATATTGGCCAGTGCTTCCAGCTACTTGTTAGCCGCCTCTTTGCCAGAAATAAATAAATAAGCGAGGCGCAGAAATAAATAAATAAATAAGGAAGCCCGCAGAAATGAATGGCAAAGCGAAGGAGTGGAAGGGGGATAAGGAAAAAAAAAGTAAAATAATATTAATTTTTAAAAAAGGAGCTCAGGGTGGCCGATGGCGAAGTGCCGGGAGCCGGGTGGAGGTGGGAATGGGGCTGGTGGCGAGGGGGAGGCAGGGTGATAGCGCGGTGAGATAGCCGGCTGCCCCCGCGCCTCTCGGGCCCGTCTGCAGCCTGGGCTTGCACCAAGGCCGACATTATCTTGGCTCTTCAAAGAGGCATGAAAGGTCTCCGCTGTCTCCCCGGAGAGCGGCCAGGCCGGGGCTGTCTAATCTCTGAGCACAAGAGCTAAAGGCCAGGGCGGGGGGGAGCGGCTCCCACCTTCCCCAACTCCACCATCGCCAGCACCTCACTAGGTGTTCCCTAGTTCAGTTCAGACCCCTTGGTGGCTGAGCGGCTGGGAGAGCCCTGCTTCTTCGGATTTCACCCTCCTAAGCAACTCTTGGCGTTTGCACGAGAGTTCGGGGCTGCAACGAGCCTGCCCCGTGCGTATGTGTTGGAGGTGTGGGAGGAGAGAGGCTCTGGCTCTCTCCCGGTGGCCTCAAGAGCCAGCTGGGAGGAAGGAGGCAAGAGGAAAATAAAGGCAGCCCAGCTTTCGGGCCCACACGTCCTCTCCCAGGCCTGCGGGAGCGGCTCCGAGGCGTGTGTGTGTGCGTGGAGGGCTGGTGTGTGAGCTGCACGGCCTCTGTGTGCCTACGTGGAGATGCTGTGTGGGTGTGTGCCACCGGGAGGGATCCGTGCCCCGGGGCACACGGCAAATCCCTGCTCTGACAGCAAAACCCGGGGTGTCCCTCACACCCCCTGCGTGTGGCTGGGTGCTCGTGGGTGCTCTGCAGGAAAGAACAAGCCCTCCCGGTGCACGGCGAGCAGGGCCAACGTGCACAACCTAAGTGGGGTTTTTGCATCCTATCTATGCGTTTCCTTATCGCGCTGCCGCTTCCAAGCATCCCCAGGGGGCCCAGACCCATCCTGCCTGCCGGCAGCTCCGCACCCTGCAGGATTCATCGCCCTCCTCCCTCCCTTTCTCCCCGGCGACGCAGCCTCCACTCCTGTCTCCAGCCCTTCGGAAGGCAACACCCCACCGTGGCCGCGCTGTGTTTATCCGAAATAAAAGGCAGCGGGGCTGGTTTACTTTGGCAGGTTTGCAGTAAATACCGGCTGGAGCGCGGGGGGCGTCTGGTGAGCGGCAATTACACGCTTCTTCCCAGGGAAACCTCTTCCCAGCCCTGTGCAGGCCCTTCCCCAGCCCCACAAAAGGTGTCAGCGAACGGGGGCCATGTTGACACAGCTCCAACCAAGAGTGGCACTGCAGGCCACAAGTGGAATGAAGCAAGTCCCTTAGGGAGCAAGTCTATATACTTGTATTATATAAACTGCTAGGGGGAGGTGGTGGGGGGGGGGGAATCACTGCAGCACCTCTTTGCCTTTCCCTTTGGCAGAGCCCTTCTTCCAATTGCCAGTTGGATTTCATGGAAAGTCTGGCCCCAAAACTTTGAAAAATCACCTGCCAGTGTCCAAAAAAGCGTTGTGAGGCATTAAAAATAGCAAGAAGAGAAAAAAACGTGTCTGTTTTTGGCTTGACCCCATCGTGTCCCACCACAATCGAAGGGGTTGTTCCCATCTCTCTGAACAGAAGTAGAGGGGGAGAACAGGGGGATCAGGTCCCCCTCCCCACACAGCCAACAGGGCTTTGCAGGGCTGGGGGCAGCCCAGAGACAGTGTTACATGTGCCTTGTTGGACCACTGGGGAAGAAGGAGGAAAGCAGCAGTTAGAGAGGTTTCTCCTCCTCCACCCCTCACTGGGATGCCAGTCCTCTGGGAAAGGCTGCTCGTGGCCCAGCCTGGTGGGAGCAGTGCAGCACTGACTGTGCCAGAGCCAGCGCGGGGTCAGGCAGTGCCGTCCCCCAGCATGGGGTCACCACCACGCCGACAGCGAGCAACCCTTCCCTGCCTCTGCTGGGAACAGCCCACAACTCCTCACACCTCCTGAGACCCCAGGGCCTGGTCCCAGATCCTGCCAGGTTCTGGCTCTGCTGGGAGCCCAACCATCAGGGCTCTGGGATTATGATAACGAACACCACTAGTGCTCAGATTGCTCGGGTTCCTCCCCTCCCCACAAGACTTGTATTCACCTTGTCCCTGTCCCCAGCTGCTCTGACACTCTCCAGTTGCCTCCACTTTGCCACGGACTAGAAAAGAAAATACAGGAGCACCCAGAAGTGCCTGCTACTGCAGCTCTCCCTTCTGCTGCCAGCCAGGCCCGGCCTCACCGACCAGGGCATGTCAGGGCACAGCAAGGTTCGGGGCCGGACCTCTTCTCTCCCCAGCTCACATCCCTTTTACCTTTTCAGAGCCATTTTTGCAACATTCAGTTCGTCCTCGCCACAAACACCCACTGCACGCACAGTCCCGGCGGCTCTTTCCACCCTCCTGGGCTTGCTCCTCTCACCAGTGTGTTGCTGGCAGAGGCGAAAATGAAAGCCCTGCTCCCTCCCTCACCCTCTCTGCACCCATCCTCCTGCTTCCACCACCGTTGGCCAAGCAGAAATTGTAAATAGAGTTCACTATTTGGATAAGGGTTGTGTGTATGTGGGTTTTTTTCCTTTTTTTTTTTTTTTTTTTAAATACCCGGGCC